ACACAGCTGCCACCACCCTGCAGAGCCGGGGCCGCTGTGCACGCAAACAGGTGCTGGCAGCGCAGGGCCCAGCTTGGCCCCACTACCCAAACTCCAGGGGAGAACGGGCCATAGCCCAGCCTGGCTGCAGCCGTGCCCCTGGGGAAACCCAGAGACTGCACTGGGCCCTGACACCCCGGGGCTTCAGGGAAAGGAACCCCCTACAGCCCTGCCAGCACCTCCGTAGAGCTCCCTGCCAGGCAAGCCCAGCACCCCAGGGGCAGGGCCACGCAGGCTGCGGTGGCCCCAAGCCCACGGCCAGCCCCAGCCCCAGGCTCCCCATAGGCTGCTGGGCACAGGCCTGCTGCTCTGCCGGTGTTCAAACCGATAAGAGAAAATAAAAGTCTGCCTCACCGTTTCAGGAGAAGGAAACCAGACGGTGCCACGGCCCACGCAGCAGTGCCTGGGCCAGCAGCAGGGCGAGGAGCAGGGGAGAGCAGGGCTGGGCCAGCTGTCCCACTGCTGCCGTGCCGGGCTGTGAGCGGCCAGCGCTGCCCAGGGCCCCGGCACGGCGTCCTCCTGGGATGGCCACCCCTGCCCCGGGGGGCCACAGGGGAATCCCGGGAACGCGAGGAAGCCTGAAGCACCCACAGGCCCCGAAGTGGCAGAGCATCACCTCGTGTGGCCCCATCCAAACGCAGCCGCAGCCCCCGCTCCAGGAGCTCCCAGGGAGGGGCCGCGTACCTGCAGCACGGAGAGGCTGGTCTGCCCCGAGAGGCTGAGCTTCTCCTGCTCCGAGGGGTACGCGTTGAAGCGGTGCTCGTACAGCCACTCCCGCAGGATCCGCACGGACTCCTTGGGCAGGTTGCCCCTTCTCTTCCTCTTGTTCGACTGCGACGGGTCCAGAGCCGCGGCGCCGTCGTCCTCTCCGAGGTCGCTGTCCGACATGGCGGGGCTGCCCGCGGCGCGGTGCTGCTTCGAGCCTGAGGGGGGAACGGTACCGCGCGTCGGGGCGAGCATCGGCACACACGGAGCTCCGCCCGCCGCGCTCCGCCCGCCCGAGCGCGCACGGCCCGCGGAGCTACGGGCGGGCCGGACCGGGCCCGGCTCCCCGCGGCGGACGGAAGACGAGAGCGCGGGCGGGGGAAAGAGAGGGGCCGCGCCCCAGGGGCGTTGATACACGGGGGTTCCGGGGGACGACGGGGCCCGGCCGCTGTCAGCAGAGAACGCGCCGGGAGGGGCCGAGAGCGGCGCCGCCCGCAACAGGTACCGGGCCCCGCAGGGCACAAAGCGGGCGGCGGGGGCCCGCCCCGCTGCTGGAGCTCGGCAAGAGGGACGGAAACCCGAAACCGCGCGGAGAGCCAACGGAGACCCGAACTCGACCTTCCCCCCGCCCCCCGCGACCACCACCACCCGCAAAAAGAAATAAAAACCGACAAAACACGCCCCGGCCCGCGAACAACTGCCTCGAACTGAAGCCCCAAAAGACAAACAGCGCCGAGCGCGAACAAAACCCACCGAGCGCACCGGCCCGGCACTCGCACAAACTTTTCACGCCGCTCGAGGGGGGGCGGCTCCCGGCCCGGCCGCACAAAGGGAGCGAGGCCGCGCCGCGAGTCCGCCCCGCCCCGCCCCGCACTGCTCCGCACTGCCCCGCCGAGCCCCGCCGAGCCCCGCGCCGCCCCGCACCGCGCCGCCCCGCACCGTCGCGCACGCAGCCCGCGCGGGACTCCATGTTTTGCGCCGCTCCGGCTGCGCTCTTACCCCCGAGCCGCCGCCGCCGCCGCCTGGGCCCTTGCATGGGCAGCGCCGGGGTCGCGCCGCCGCCGCGCCGCGGCCGCGGTCGGGGTGCGGGAGGAGGTCTCCCGCCGCGGCGGGGCCGGCGGCGAGGGGCCGAGGCACCCCGAAAAGTTTGCGGGCCGCGGCGGTGACAGATGCCGAGACAGAGTTCCCTTTGTTCCCAAGGAGGCAGGAACTTGGGCCGGGCCCCCCGCCCCCGGCCCGCCCGCCCGCCCCCGGCTGTCACCGCCGCGGCCCCGCGGCGGCGCGGCGGAGTTGCGGACGGCGGAGCCGGGGCCGCCCCCTCCCGCGGTCGGCGCGCGGCTCCTCTCGGGACGGCCGCCGGCCCCCGCAGCGAGCCCGGGGCCCCCCGCCCCTTCCCGCAGCCCGGGCGCTGCGAAGCCGGCCGGAGGAGACCCGGGGCGGGAGAGCGAGCGGCGGGGAGCGGCCGGGGGTGGCGGCCCCGCAGGCCTCGGGCCGCCCCGGCACCGTCCGCGCCGTTCGGGTGCTTTTAACTCACGCGGTGGGAAATCGGAAACGGCGCCGGGCGCTCCCGTGCCAGGGGCTGGAGGGGTGGGAAGGCGGCGTTCCGAGCGGCGGAGCGAAATGGGAACCTCGCTCGGGGGACGCGCGGGATCTCCCCCCGCCCGCCGGCACCGCGCGCCCCGTCTCTGTACCGCCGGCGGCGTCACGCGTGGCCGTGGGGCCGCTCCTCGGAGCCCGGCGCGGCCGCGCGAGACCCACACACCGCTCCCGCACGCGGCTCCGCGGGGCGGCCCCGCCGCGATCCCCGCTCGCAGCCGCTCTCCCTCGACTTTCCGCGGCGGCCGAATGAGAACCGCTTAGTTTCGCTGCCGCTAAGTCCTCCACGTCTCCCGTGAACCCGCACCCCGAATCGCTCTGCGCAACGCTACCGCCCCGCAGCACCCCGCCGCAGCCCCCGGCCCGGGGCTCCCGGGGGGGCCCAACCCCCGCTCCCCGAGGCCGGGACGGCCGGGAACAGCCCCGCGGCCGGGCAGAGCCCCCCACCACTCGGGGCCCATTGACATGATAATGCCGTTAAACTTCGGCGTTTGGAAAACAATCGGGCGGGCGGTGCCGGAGGGGGATGCTGCGAACCGATGGGGCCGCGGGGCTGCCGGCTCCGCTCGGGCGCCGCTCTCTCCTTCCTTCGCCCCCTGCCGTTGTTGAATTTGTATTTTTTGATGCAAGGAAGGGGCTCCTGGGGGGGCCCTGCGGGGCGCTGCCTGCCCGAACCGTGCCCCCACAGCAGCAGGAACTGCGGGAAGGACGCAGGGGGGGAGGAGGAGGGAGAGGGAGGGGCCGTGGGGCCGCCGGCAGCGGTGTGCGGGGGGGTCGGGCCTGGGAGAAACCTCCCTGGGGAGGCTGCCATGTGCCAGCGCTGCCTGGGCTGCGGGCTCCGAGCGACGCTGGCTGCGGCCGCTGGCGAGCCGATATCTGGGCAAAGCCCCTGGTCGGGGGACTGGCGGACGCGAACTGAGCTGCAGAGGTGCTGCGTTCCTCAGGAATGAGAACGTCCTTCTCTGATGAGAGAGGAGGATGGAGACGGTGTGGCCCAACACGGAGAGGAGAAAGCAGCTGCTTCAGGTTAACCCCAAAAGATGGATTCCTGACTCGGTGTCCCTGCCTCAACCAAACACTCCTGACATTATGCCTGGTTTTGGTTTGGGAACTGAAACAGCACACCTCTGAAAGAACTGCTTTAGGAGTTTTGTTTTGGTTGTTGTTTGGGTTTTCGGTTTTTTTTAGGAGTAAAACCCAGGAACCCTTCATAAGAAAATGGCTTGCGGGTTTGCTAATACTTCTTCACCCACTGCACATGAAGCAGCTCTGCCCAAAGGGGATGAGATACCTCTGCGAGCACAGCTGGCCGCACGGATGCGGAGCAGCCCCACCGCCGAAGCTGAGCACTGCTGTGCTGCTGGAAACCTGGCCGGCAGCTGCGGAGGCGCGGTTGAAGGGGAAAAGCCTCAAGGATCCGATCCTGTCCCAGGAGCTGCTCCTCGGCTCCGTGTAACCAGCAGTCCCACTGCGCGTGTGCCCTCAGCTCCTCTTTCGCCCGGTTTAAATCAAGCTGCTGTAGCAAATCCCGTTCTTTGCTGTGGGACTCTCGGTGCCCTTCTCTGAACGCTCCCAGCACCGCCGGGTCTGCTTTACGTTCGAGGTGTGGGCGATGCGGGGAGGCGATGGCCGGACACTGCTCTCTCTTAATCCCTTTTTTTTCCCTCCTAATTCCTAGCATGTGATTGTTTCCTTTTTTTTTCTTTCTTCTATCTTTCCGTACTTGGACAGCAGCTGAGCTCCGCCCTCCCGGGGGCCGCCCGTCCCCTGGTGCAGCGCGGTACGACGCACACCTGCAGCGCGCATTCCTCCCGAGCTGCGCTCCCCGCGCACCATCCGCGCTCGCAGCCGCGCGTCGCGCTGCCCGCAGCCCCGTGGAGCTGGGGAAGGGCTGAAGCGGAGGGGCCGGCAGCGGGCTGAGACCTCCCCGCGAGCGCGGGACTACGAGGTTCCTTAAATGCCCGCGGCCCCACAGCTGCCGGCGGGGGCCGCATTCCCCGCAGCACACACCCGCAGCCCGTACCGCGCGTGCGGTGCTGCGTCCAAACGCCTCCCCGCGCCCGTCCCTCTGCCCGTCCTGTAGCGCAGCTCTCCTCAGCGAAGGCGGTAAATGGTGCGTAAGCTGATTTTGCAGATGGGTCGGGAATTATTTGGCTTCAAAATCAAATTAATTGCCTTCGGGAGGAGGAGCCGCAGCAGAGCAGCGAGGCGGGGGGACGCGGTGTGGGAGCTGGGGCGCGAGCGGCCCCAACCCAAACCCCGAACCCAGGGCTGCGCCAGGCAGGGCGAGAGCACAGAACACACTGCTGTGTCACACCCGTCAGACTTTATAGGCTGCTTCAGCTTTCTGAATCGCTTAGATCACAGGCTCTAAAGCCATAAAACAGCCAAAGAGGAAGAAACAAAGTGTTCTTTTCTTTCTTTCCTAAAGGAAGGGAGTGTGGGAGGAAAGGGGAGAGCTTCTTTCAGTGTTAGGTCCTCTGGGAGAGGGATTGCACTGCTTTGAGCCAGCCGGAACCCCCCCGGCCAGCGCTCCCCGGGCTGCCTGCCCCTGTCCGGACCCTCCTGCTGAGCGAGAGGAGCGGCGGAGCGGGGGGGGGGGGGGAGCCTGGCCGGGATCCCGGGGCAATGGGAGAGGACAGGCGGGCACGCGATGGCCGCACGGCATGGAGCAGGGTGCCGGCCCGGCCAGGGGGAGCCTGCGGTGGGGCTGGGCAGCGAGGGGCGGGGGTGCGGGTGGCACGTGAGGGAGGCGGGGGGCAGCTCTCGGCTCTAATCGTCCTTGTCCTTGGCTCCGTGCTTCAGGATGCGGGTGAACTCCACGTAATTGAAGTTGCCCTTCTTGTCGATGGGCGCCTCCCGGTACATCTCGTCCACCTCCTCATCAGTGAACCTGTCCCCCATGGTGGTCAGCAGTTCACGCAGATGGTCCTCGTGAATGAACCCTGTGGGGATGGCAGGGACAGCATCGGCGTGTGAGGGCAGCGTGAGTGCGGACCCCTCCACTGCCTGGCTCCCAGCCCTGCCCGCGGCCTGAGCCGCCTGCTGGCACTCCCCAGGTTGTACCTGTCGCCTCCTCGTCGAAGCAGGCAAAGGCATTGCGGATGACATCCTCCGGGTCGGTGCCATTCAGCTTCTCCCCAAACATGGTGAGGAACATGGTGAAGTTGATGGGCCCCGGTGCCTCGCTCATCATGCCCTCCAGGTACTCGTCAGTGGGGTTCTTTCCTGCCGGGCACAGGCAGGGTGTGGGTCCCGTACCCAAGGCCATCCCCAAGCCCATGCTGCCCGCAGAGCTCAGCTATGGCAGACTCCCAAGGATTTTTCCATTGTTTTTAGTTATTACCTGCCCGAATAGTGCCTGAGCTGACCACAACCACCCCAGGCTGCCCTGGCGATGTGCCCTTGCTGCTGCATCACCAGACTGGATGGAGTTCACCACCTACCCTTCCCCAGGGCTGCAGGGCAGAACCCTGAGCACAAGCTTGAGTATGACAGCTTCCAGTGTTCTTGCCAACCACTGACTACCACAGGAGGTGGGTTTGGGGGCTCATTCACAGATGCCATGAGCACAGGGATGGATTTCACAGCATCCACTGCTCCTGCTCAGTCCCTCTCCGTGATACTGTGTCCCAAGCATGGCTCCCAGTAAAGCACTAGGGTTGGCCTCTGCCAAGCACAGCCCTGACGCACTCAGTGCGTGGCCCTCTTGTGCTTTCTCTTCCAGGTGGGACCTTCAGAACAGATCCAGCCACCAGATCAATGATTGACAGAGCTCCTTCCATCATGGCATGGGGCCAAGAGGGGGACAGCAAGGGGGCAGGATCTGGGTGGGCAGCATGGCTGCACTGCTGGGTTTGGTCTCATCCCCAAGAGCCCCTGTGCCAGGCAGTACTGAGCCAGTGCCAGTGGCTGGGAAGTGCACATCTTCCCCAAGCTGCCAGCCTGCTTGGAGGGCTCTGCCTGGCTCAGTGCTGCCACCAGTCCAGGACCCACCTGCTGCAGTCCCCTGCCAGCACAGACACAGACCTCACCCATCCACAGCTTGAAGCCATCTCCCATATGGGACTCCGTGGCCAGCAGGAGGCTGCATCCTGCTCCATCCCTTGTGGAGGAGCCTGTGAGTGCTGGGTTGGGAGCCCCCTAACCACACTGACCCAGCCATGCAAGCTGGCATGGGACAGGTCTGTCCTGTCACACAGGCTATGAGCAACGAAAAGGCTTTGTCCTGGTGACACTTTGGGCTGGCACCACTCCAGCCCCCAGCTTCTCCTTGTGCAGAGCTGCTCCAGCCCCAGCAGAGGCAAGGACCTGTCCTTACCAGTGAATGCAGCTGTAAGAACAACAGACCCTTGGGCACCTCCACAAGCAGACTTTCAAGGCCAATCAGTGCACCAGAGGACGTCTCTCCAGCTTTTGCAGAACCAAACTGGCCCAAAGCAGGAGGGTTGTGCCCCAGTGCCACCCCAACAGCGGGCTCACTGCACGCTGACCAGGAGCCCTCACTGTTCCTGTGACCCACAAGCAGCTGGCCAAGGAGGCGTGAGGGAAATGGGACTGGGGGATTTGGGGAGGGGTAGGGGAGGGTCTCCTCACCCATGGAAGCCAGCATGTCATGCAGATCCTCCTTGTCGATGAACCCGTCACGGTTCTGGTCGATCATGTTGAAAGCTTCCTTGAACTCCTGGATCTGTGACTGGTCAAACATAGCGAAGACATTGGAGGTGGCGCGCTGTGGGCGCTTCTTGGTGGTCTTGGCTTTGGCACGTTTGCTGGACATGTTGGCTGCTGTGGTGGCACCTGGGGGCAGGGCAGGGCTGTTAGAGGGCAGCAGAGGGACACAGCTTCCCTGTGTTGCTGCACAAACGCCACTCACCAGCTCTATCCCTCAGTTTCACTGGCTGTCACCAAGTTAGGCAACAGTGAGATAATGCGGTCGCAGGGTAGGATGTGGGGACAGGGAGACCCGGGCTTTGCCGAGCACCTTGTGAGGTTCCAGGAGCAGCTCTCTGCCCCCGTTCCCAACGCGTTGCAGGGCTGTCCCCGTGCCCACACCCTCTGCCCACAGACCTGTTTGTTGGCTGCCCCCTCCGAACCCAGCACCACCACGGCTGCCTCCCAGGCGCCCCCTGGGGTTTCGACGCGGCCCCTCCCACGCCACGCAATCACCCCCTCCTCGTGCCGGAGCCCCTCCTCGCAGGGCCGAGGCTCTGCCGGTGCCCGGGGTTATCGCTGCGGACGCATTCCTCGCATGCCACCGCCTCCCCGCCCCCTCCGCCCCGCTCCGGCTGCCCGCACCCGGCTCTGTCCACGGGAGAGCCCCGAAGGCAGGTGGGGGGCGAGGGCAGCGCCGGGGGTGCAGGGGAGCGGCTGCGGAACGGCGGGGACGGAGGACCGCGTAGATGGTACGTATTATGAGCGACAGGAGATGAGAAGAGCCAGGCGGGGGGCAGGGAGGGGTCAACAGCAAGACCTCTGCACTGCACGGACGGATGGACGGCCCTCAGCGGGCTCAGCCGGGGCAGTCCGAGACCCAGCAGGGACGGCATCGCAGGCGGCCACTGCCTTGCCGTGGGGAGAGACAGTGGGCTCCGGGATGAGCAGATGGTGCCCGAACCCCTTCAGAGCCTTGGAGCAGCGGTTTGGAGCCGGATCAGTGCCTGATACACCTGCAGCGTGGGCACCGGGGCCCATCCCCAATCCTTATGGAGGGCCCTGCAGCACTGGCCACCACCAGCGCAGCCCAGGAAGAGGATGCTCAGACCTCTCCCGGTCAAATCCCAAAAAGTGAAGCTCAGGAAGCTGCCATCAGAGACAGGCCCGACACAGGGACCTTCCTGGCATCAGCTGCCATGCAGCACGGCCCTGAGAGAGAACCTGGGTGAAGTCAATCCACTGCCCAGATTCTTGTGCTTCCACCACAGCCACTGCTTTGATGGCAGCCCCAAACCTCAACTTCCCCATCAGGGACAGGGAGTCCCTGCCTGCTGCACGGCGGGGAGCAGTGCTAACAGAAAGTTCCTCAATGGAGAGGAGGAGCAGAGCGTGCACCTCATGCCTTGGTGGCAGCGCTGTCCCTGTGCTCTGCTCTGGCAGGGGACACACAGCAGCTGAGGGCCACATCACACCACATTTGGCAGTGCAAAGCAACAGCAGCATTGCCCCTGCCTGACCTGGGAGTGTGCCTGCCTGTGGCCCTCCCAGCAGTGTGGGCGCCAGTCTGTGTGGAGGAGCTCAGTCGACCCCCCCATCTGCTGTGCCAGCGCAGACCCAGCAATAAAAGCTCTGCTGGCAGAACGCAGCTCAGCCAGCACTGTGCCTCCCAACCACAGAGAGCAACGAGCAGAGCTATTAGCAGAAGAAATAAGCAGGAGTTTTGCTCTCACCACATGTATTAATACTACCCAAATATTTACGCTGCTCCAGCTGTGACCAGGCAGCACGAGCATGGCTCGGCATGAGCCCCCCGAGAAGGTTCTTGCTGGGGGGACTAAGTGCAATTTGGGCAGCACGTGGCTTTTTTCTGTTCGATTCCGCCGTTTGATCCAAAAAATTCCCTGGGAAGGTGTTTGGTCCTAAGGACCAGCTCAGCTCCTGATCGTTTCATTTCTGCTTCTTGGGGCTGCCTGTGGCTCAGAAAGAGACTCTGGGGCTGGGTGCAGGGAAGGTGCTCTGGAGGAGGAGTGCCGTGCAGCTGACCCAGGCTGTCCGTGCCCTGCTGGAGGGCCCGATGGCAGCCCTGCACCACGCAGCCCCAGGGTCTGGCTGTAAGGCACTGGCTGATCAGAAAACCCAATGCCAGAAGAGTTTGGGCAGCTCTGGGGCATAACGCCCTGTACACTGCGGGGCCGAGCATCCAGCTTCTCTGCAGCAAGAGGAAAAGCCACAGTGATGGGCCCTGCTTCGGCGAAAGGCCCATCCCAGGGCTGCACCAGACCAGGATCTGCCCATCACTGGCAGTGGAGCCACGGAGCTCCGCGCTGCATGAATGCAGCCACCAGCTCACCTTAGCCCTTCTGCCACCTGCCTCCTGCATCACAGGGCTCGTACCTTCCCCTCTAAAGAGGCAGCCCCACACAGCCATGGGCCTGGCTTGAAAAGTTACTGTAGAAAATAGATGCAGTTTTAAAGAGAAGGAGCAAAGACAGGCCGTTATCAGTAAAATAAGCTGCCATACATTTCCTCGTTGGTAAAAAGCAAGCGGCTTCACCCCAGTGCAGTGCCTGGCCATGCTGGGGGGGGGCAGACAAGCTGAAGGGACATCCTCATGCTGCCAGAGCATGAGTCCCTTCCCAGCCCCTCCTGCCCACACCAGATCTCATGTATCACTTAAGCCTCTTGTCCCAAGAAAAAATAATAAACCAGAAGAGAGCTGCTGCTGGGCAAGCAACTGCAGGGGCTCCTGGCAGGCCTGGCTGGCATGAAGTCACTGACACAAAGGGGACAGGGGGACCTCGGCCTTCCAGCTGCTGCACGGCTCAGCATGGTGCAAATATGATGCTGGGTACTCCTGTGCTGCTAAGGGTGTCCCAAGGGTGGCTCCTGCAAGGCTGGGTATCCAACTGCAGGGAGTGCTGCATGGCTCTGCCACTGTGCAGGGCTGCTTGCGGGAGGGAAGGGCATCATCTGCACGACACCCCGGCACTCAGACACAGGGCATACACCTTCTGAAGGTCGATTCAAACAGCCTGCACTGCTCCTGGGTACAGCCCCGTGGGAATAAACAATGGCCCCTTTGAGAGTCTGTTTCAAGCAGCAGCAAGCCAAAACACACAGCCTTTACTGAAAGGTGAGCGTGCTGGAAGCTGAGCTGCCCGTTTCTCCCTGCTGCTAGAACCCCAGCCGGGGTGCAGAACTGCTCGGCTCTGTCCTCACTGCACACACAGGATATTTGACCACGCATGTGGAACCACACCACACACGGCCCTTCTGCCGTGCCCAGGGCTGGGAGCAGAGAGCACCCAGCAGCACGGGGCAGGAAGGCTGCGTGGCCCCACGCCCTGCCGTCTTCCCAGGGAATGAAGGAGCTCACCTCAGGGGGGAATCCGGCCTCAGTGCGTTGGGGGGAGGCGGCAGCAAACTCCTCCTACAGTAGCGCAGAGCCTGCCAGTGACGAGGGGAAAAAATTCGAGTGACTGAAGAAACCGACCATCTTTGGTAAGCAGCAGCGGTTGTTGACACTTCAGGATGTTCCGCTCCAAAGAATGCTGCCCCAGCCGCTGCTTTCTCCATGGCTAAGAACCTCCCTGGCTTTTATCACGTTTGTAAAAACATTTTGTTCCAAAAAGGCATGCAGGGAGCGGAGCGGAGGAAGCCAAGGGGACCTGAAGTTTTCTTGGGCAAAAAAGTTCCCTCGCCTCTGAGGAAAAAGAGCTAAATAAAGCATTTCTGCCTTCCGACAGTTTATTGCTTGAAGTTGCTCACAGGTCTCGTGGGAGATCTCTGGAGCATCACGCACGCATCTCGGTTTGGGCTCCGGCCGTCAGTAAGACCCGGGGAACAGACGCTCCGGGAAGGAACGAACAGAGCCCCGTGTCAGCGCGGGACGGGTCCCGGCTGCGGTCACCGCAACCGCCGAGAGCTGCGCTCGGGATCGCTCCTCGCCTTCCCCCAGGGAACGCCCCGTACGGGACGGGGACCCGAGAGGCTCTCCTCTTCCCGCGAGGGTCGCGGGGCTCCTCCCGTTCCGCAGGCTGCAGCAGCGCGGTCGGTGCCCCCCGGCTGCGCCCTCGTGCCCCGCAGACCTTTCCCGAGCTGCCCCCCGGCCGTGCCCCGCATCCCTCCCGCCCGCTCCGTCGGGGCCGCCCGGTTCCCCCTCGCCCCGCCGCCGCCGGGGGTCGCGGGCAGGTCCGCCCGGACGGCACCTCTCTCACCTGGGCCGGAGCGGGGCAGCTGCAGGACCGACGGCGCTGCTCTGCGCCCCCGGCCGGCGGCGCGGCCCTAGGCGCGGGCTGGGGTCGGGGCGGTGCCGGACCCCTCGTCCCGCCCCTCCCGGCCCGGCTCGGCCCATACAAGGCAGAAGAATGCGGCGGGGCCGGGGCGGCGGGGTGCGCTGTAGGCTGTACATAGAGGGAAGGACGGCCGGGAGGCTCACGCGTGGCCGCTGACACGGGAGATGGAGGGGGCACCCAAAGGTGATTCCAGCCCATGGCTCGTGGGGGCCCCGACGGCGACCCGGGGGGATTTGCCTCGTTTCCCCGGGGCCAGAACTCAGCCTGCGGAAGGGTGAGGGCGAGCGGGACCAAGAGCTGACACGAGCTGCGGTTCACATCGAGCCGCGGCCCTCATCCTCCCACCGGGAATCGCCGCTCTGGGGCTGCGCGGCTGTGGGGCTCTGTGCTGAGCCTGAGCTCCACGTGGGGCCTTCCCGAAAAAATTTGCCTTTTAAAGAAAAGAAAAGGAAAGGAATAAAAAAGGAAATAACATGTCTCAGGAGGCAGAGAGCTGAGCTGCAGCCCCATGCTGCTCCCAAGGGTTTTCCGTGCATCCGCCCTGAGCACAGCGGTGTCTGCGCAGTGCCCGGCAGCCCCAGCTCCCAGCAGCGAGCCGCCACTGCGCCCCGGGGCAGCAGTGAATGTGGCAGCTCCTCACACTCTGTGCAGCCTCTGCAGTTGGATGCACACAAAGGGCTGCTGCTGGGATGCCCAGCACACACTCCTCTTCCTCCCTTCCAGCCTTTCCCACCTTCCCTTCTCACAGCGCCTCCAGCTCCCTGTATGTCCTCCTTCCCTGACTAAACGTGTGCTGCAGAAGGGAGCCTGTTCCTACTTCCACATCTTCTTCTCTCGCCTCTCTTCTGCCTCTTCCTTGTTCTTTCCTGCTATAATTTTACTTGGTTTTCTCTCTGGAGGCAGTGGGTCATGGAATGGAGCTGGGGTAAAACAAGGCAGTCTTTTAGCACGTCAGTTTTAGATCAGTTTAGACCCAAGTGTCCCATCATCACACAAATGCTTCCACCCCTGGAAATTGGCATTGATCAGGAGCACGGAGTCAGGGACTCCTTACAAGCCAAGGACACAGCCCAAAGTCCTGTTGTCCTTCAGACGTGGCCGCTGCTGTGCTCAGTGCCCCTCTCATTGAAGGATGAGGGCAGAGGGGGCTGCCGTGCCCCAAATGCCTGCAGAGCCCCAGGGGAACAGGGTCAGAGCAGCCCTCAGCAAGGGAACCTGTCATGGTAGATGTCACATGTGAAGGTTCCTATGGGAAATACAGCACGGGTCCCCTTCTGTCACGTTACCCTCTTCATAACAGTGGGAGTCCAGTGATTCAGACCGCCCTCTTCAACTTGCAGCAAATGCCTCAGAGCACGCAGTCAGGGACCTGACAGATAGCTGGGGCAGTGCTGGGAAGCCCACAGATATGTTACAGAATTGGTATTTGAATGACACGACAGCAGTCCAGGACAAGGACTCCTCTGCCTGTGCAGGAGCTCAGCGGCCTGTTGCCAAAGTCAATAGCAAGGTGCTGCTGCAGTGCTTTGTCCTGCAAGCAGAAAGCAGCCAGGCTCCAAAAATGCTGAGTCAAGCACATGCTGGGCTGCACAACAGAAAAGCGCAGGGCCTTAGGGCCACTGTTTGCTAATGGAGAAATGAACGAAGCACTGGACTTCACTGCGAGTGGGGACCTGCACGGACAGGCAAGCAGGGCGCAGCTCCCGAGGAAGGATCTGCGCAGGGCTGGGGCGGAGGCGGCAGGTCGCGCTGCGAGGCCGGGTTCTCCCAGCGGCTCCGAGGTGCCCGCACGTGCGGGACACGCGGCGCCCGCAGTTGGCTCCCGGGCTGCAGCCAGCCCGGCCAGCTCCGATCGCTCCGCCGAGAACGCGCCGGTTCCGGAGCGCCCCGGACTCTCGGCCGCCCGCAGGGCTCAGCAGGCAGACTCCGCCGGGGGCCGTAAGGAGCGCCGGCTCGGCACCACCCGCCCCGCTCCCACGGCGTACCGAGGCGAAGCACCCCCCCGTGAGCCCTCTCGCCCGCCGTAGGAGGGCGGGGCGCCCGCTTTGGTCACGTGTCTCCCGGCAGCGCGGCGATTGGCGGCCGCGGGGCGCGGGTGAGTGACGGCGCCCGGCTGCCGCTTCCGGGGCCGTGCGGGGCCGTCGGGCGGGAGGAAAGGAAACGACAGGAGAGGAGGGAGGATGAGCGGCGCGCGGCGCAGGGAGGAGCCGCCGCACGCGCAGCAGCACGCGTTGGCCAACGGCGGCGGGGCCGGGCCGCGCGGCTCCGTGTGGGGCAAAGCGCTGCGCAGCGACTCCGCCTGGCACGACAAGGTGCGCGACTCGGCCGGGCCGGCGGGCGGCGTTGGGAGGCTCCGGGGAAGCGCCGCCGGCACCGCCGTCTCGCGGCCTCCCGAGCTCCGCTTCCGCGCTGTCGGGGTCGGCGGTCCTGGCCGTGCGGCTGTCGGGGAGCCGCTTCGGTCTGTGGGGCGCTGGAGGCGGGGGCTCGGGGCGGGGCCGCGGCTTAAGCCGCTGTCTGACGATTGACGAAGAAAACAGAAGCCTCGTTTCGCTTTCTCTCCTCAGGACGAGTTCTTAGATGTCATCTACTGGTTCCGGCAGATCATCGCGGTTATTCTGGGAGTCATCTGGGGGGTGGTCCCTCTGAAGGGATTCGTGGGGATCGCAATGTAAGGCTCCTTCCCTTTTCTGCCCCGTGCGCTTTCCCACGTTTGGTCCCGGCTTCTTGTCTGTTTGCAGCCTGTGCTGTAAATACAGCTGGGCACAGCCCCTGCGTCTGCCCTGTGTCTCAAACCCAGCATTGCATTCCAGGCTGCTGTTTGTCAGGAAATTCAAACCCTGACACCTTCATCAGGTCCTTTCTCTCTCCTTGAGCTAACGCTTTTTTTACTTTTTCATTTCTTTTAGCGTTGTTAAAGAAGATGGGGTGGAAGGAGCTCAGCTGACTTGTGAAGTGTCCTATTTGTGCGTGTGTAAAAGGGGGCTTCAAAAAAGTGACAGGAAATGCTGGGGAGTCTCTTTGCAAATGTCTCTGCTTAATTAAGGCCTCTAAAAACAGCTCTCAGCTCTGGAGCATTTATTGAGGAAAATGGAATGACCTGCCCTAGCTGTGCTGAGGGGATGGAGGGAGTGTTGCTGCCTGCCTCTAAAAAAACCCTGAAGTTTGGAACTTAAGGAAATGAACTGCAGGACAATGGTGCTGTAACAGAAGCGCAGTAGCTACATGCAGACAGTTGCATCTGAAGTGCTTCTGCTAATAGATGATGAGGAGAGGAGTTGGGAAGCATTGCTTGTACTCAGTCATCCATTTGTTCCCAAGGCGTCTTCAGGTGCATGCGCCCATTTCTGTGCTACGTGTTGGAAATAAAAACGTAGTATAATTTGGGAAACTAAAAGCTTCTAGAATCATGCATGCAGTTGCTCTATGATATGTGGTTGAGCAGCTGCTTGCAGCTTGCTGCTGGTATTTGAACCTGCATGTCTTCAAGTAGGGCCGTTCCTACAGCTTTCTGTCCAGAACACATACTTGTCCCTTGTGAGATTGTCTCAGCCTGAAGTTAGAGTAATATAAGGCCAAACTGGTCTAAGAACAAATGGGAGGTCTCATTTTTTTTTTTGTCTCCATTGTCTTCTAACACTCCTCCCTTTTGGCAGCCTCAAAATCAGTGTGTGCAAGGAAATGGGATTCTGTGGTGGGAGCAGTACTATTGCTGATCTGCAGGATTTGCAGATCTGCTGGTATTTCCAGCTTCTCATCGCTGTCTGTTGAGCCTTAGTTGCTGTAGGTTGTGCCTCGTGAGGTGAACCTCATCCAAACCCAGCTGCTGACCTGGAGGGGCTCTTGTAAGGAAGACACTGAGCTGCCCGTGTAAAGTGACAGGAATAGTGCTCCCTTTCGCCTCTTCTCTGCTGACATTTCATACGTTGCCGTGTGGCATACTGCACGTGCAGTGAAAATGACGGTTTCTGATCTTTCTTGCAGATTCTGCCTGATCAATGCTGGTGTTCTGTACCTCTACTTCAGTAGCTTCCAACAGATAGATGAGGAGGAGTACGGGGGCACGTGGGAGCTAACAAAGGAAGGATTCATGACATCTTTTGCACTGTTTCTGGTAACATCTCTTGCTTTCTTTAAGTTGGTTTGTGAATCGTGTTGGTAAACTTTCTGAGGGTCTGGAAGAAAAGCTGGGGCACTGGTAGAAGAGATATGTTAACATCATCTGAGAAGTGAGCTTCATGGGAAGAATTGCCATTACTCCCCTTCCCCAGGTGCCTGAATGCCACATGACTCGTGGTGGTGTTCCTAGATGGCTGGAGGGACTGTGGTGGGATTTATTGTAGCTATATTAATCACTCTGGAAGCCAGGCGAGATGAATGGCACCATTTGTGGTGCATGGAAATCCCAGTGCCTCTCTGATGCACTCCCAGAACTGGAATTCAGACCCCCATCAGTGAGGCGTGAACTTGTCAGTGTTCAAACCCTCTCCAGAGGCACGAAAACAACCTTCTCTTCCTTTCTTCTCCACAGGTTGTTTGGATAATCTTCTATACTGCCATCCACTATGATTGACATGGTCTGCAGCTTTTGCCTGTTAAATCAGTTGTCAGTAAATCAGGAAGGTTTTAATAAATCATCACCTTTAGCAGACTGGTGGGAAGCCTGGGGAAGTCCAATCAAGTTCCTTCTGATCAGCATGGAAGAGCCCCACGCCTTCTGCTGGAGCAGCCAGTCTGACTCCGTTTTATATACCTGTTAGTTATTGGAACTATCAAAAGCCATTGGAATTCGTGGAAGTGGTTCAAGACTGTTCAGATCTTCGACTTTCTGCGACTCTAGCCAGTAATTGTGTCAAACTCCTGTATGCTGAAGATGGAATCTGTTAATTTAATGTATGTGTGCCCTGTATCTGGAATCTCTCATTACATTCTCACGTGTCTTCCACTGTTGTCCTTTATACAGACAGGTTTTTAAAAAGAGATTGCAAGGTTGGTGAAGGAAGGCCCTGCAGCACCAGAATATGAGTTCAGTGGCTGCCCTCAGCATTTTTGGTAGTAATCAGATCTGAATTGATTAAACAGACTGTGTTGGTACAATTTCTCATAGTTTGTTTTACTTGCTAATCATTTGTTCACCGGAATTTTCAAATAGTCCTTGCCGAAGACAAATTTCTAAACAACTTTGCTAGAAAGAGCTGTGATTAATTTTGTTAACAAATGTTTAACTTAAAACATGTTCCGGAGGCTTGGAAACACCGCTGCGTTTTGCTGGCCTGATTATGGAATTGCCAACACTTACCTCAGAGCTCAGTGGTCTCGAGGAACCGTCATTGTGCAGGTGCACTTGGAATGGTAGGCATTTGAGTCCTTTTTCACTTGTCTTTAAAAGCTTTTTTTAATTTCAGCCAGCTTCAGATGTTCCTTGTTAATAACTGCAGGAGACCAACACAATCGAGGCAGCTAACATCTTACGTGTATAACTACTGATTGGCGAATCAGGCAGATCCAGAGAAGCACATGGCCTCTGGTTTGCAAGGTGCTCTCTGAGTTGGTCACACCACAGCTCAGTTCCTTCCTACTCATGCCCTTTTTATGCTTTGGTGAGGAGTCTCTGCTTTAAAAGTGTTTTTAAGGACTGTATTTCACAAGTAGTGACTGAGAAATGCACAGTCCTTGTTTTTGCCTGAGGACTTAGCAGCCTAGCTGCCATGTGGTTCTTGCTTCTGTAAACCACAGCCCGTTTATCCAACAGGAATCCTGACCTAAAGCTGCCTTGTAGTGAGGAGCTGATGGTTTTGGCATGCCCTTGGTGGAAGTCTGTGTTGCCTTCTTGGTGGAAATGAGCATGCAAAGCTGGGAATTTGATTCTCCAGCTGCTGAGCTGGGGCTCCAGCACTGACCCACCTGTGCAGGTGGCTTTCCTTTACCAGGGAGAATGCTGGCTGCTCTTGGAGGAGAAAAACACCCCTGGGTAACTTATGTCCTTGGGCTGCCGAGGGAACAGTGCAATAGCAGGCAGCTTCTGCTACGTGTGAGTTGCCAAATTAGGTAAACGATCTCAAACGAGCTACATTTGCTCCTCCCCATCCCTGAACTTGATCAACCTTTTAGTCTGATGCCTTTTTTTATTTCCCTCTTACTTCAGCTGAAAGCATTAATTTCCAGTGATGATTACATAGCCTGCCAATTCTTAGTCACTCTTCACTACTGGCATCTGCAGCCATGGTGAATCGCTTTATACTTGAAGTGCTCTAATAAATGTCACCTGGATAACCCGCTGTGCAGCTTCTGTATCCTCTGGTCTTGTTTTGCAGAATATTGGGAAGCTGAGATTCCTTCAAGAGTCTGAATTTTAGTAAATATCTTAGCCAGCAACTCTCTGGGTTTCTTAGGTCTCTTGTGTTGCACGCTCGACTGCTGTGCTTTCAGGAGACAGAAGCATTTGTAGTGGAAGTGGTAGCCAATGCTCACATCCAGGCTGTAAGAAGCAGGACAAACAGTGCTGTCCCTGTATAAGCCATGCTGTCCATTCAGGCCTCAGCACGCTTGCTCTGTGCTCTTGGTTTCTTGCAGGGCTGGTGACTGAATGACGACTGCTGGGAGGCTGTGCTGCTACAGGGCTGCAACATGGAGAAGAGCTGAGCTGGGCGGTGGGAGCTGCAGCTGCCAGTGTGCAGTTCCATAAGCAGGCTGCATCCTTGCGTGGTCTCTGTGACGATGCAGAGGAGGCTGTGCTGCTTACAGGTTCTGGGAGGCTCACTTGCTTTGGCCCTGTAGGAATGTGGCTTTGGCTCCCAACTAGAAGCAGTGGTTCCTGGCAGGAAGGAACATGAGGAAGGTTTTCCCTGTCCTAAGCTCATTCTGAGGAGAGGAGCAAATGCATTCTGGTGCGGCACTGCCAGAAGAGTTTCTTGTGAGCTCTCTTCTGGGCTGTCAGACCCCAGCTAGAGCAGCTGTCAGGGTGGCACAGCTCTGCAGGCATTACGACGGCACACTGCATGGCAAACGTTTATCCTTGGGTTCGGTCCAGCAAGGGAGTTCTGCTGATGTCACTTTCTTAAACAGCCTGGCACGGCCCTAAAGCAAGCAGTGTCCGTTAAGGCCGGAGTGCAGCGCTGAGGTTTCAGGCTCTCTGCGTGCCTCACGGAGGTGCACCTTCATTTCCCCAGCCTGACTTCCAAGCTCCCGCGGGCTGTGCTTGCAGCCCGCTGGGGTTCACTGTGCACGCCTTCACGAGATGCCGCCGGCAGGAGGGGAGCCCTCCTGAGGACGGAAGGCCGCAAAGACGCAAAAACGGAGCGGGCTGAGGCCGGTTCGCAGACACGCTCCCGCGAGCGGGCGGTTACCGGTTACAGCCGGCAGCACCCCCGGGCCGCTCGGGCTGCCGGCGGGCGCGAGCAGAACGGCGCGGAGCCGCACGACGCGGAGCCGAGCGCCGGCCCGCGGGCTGACGGCGTGCGGCTCCCGCCCCGTCCCGGGAGCGGCTCCGCCCCGGCGGAGGCTGCGGCGCGGCCCGGCCCCTTCCGGCGGCGCGGGGCGGCGGGGCGGGATGGCGGCGCCCGAGGCCGAGGCGGCGGGGGGGCGGCAGCGCGCGCTGGGCGCCTACTCGCCCGTGGACTACATGAGCATCACCAGCTTCCCCCGGCTGCCCGAGGAGGAGGCGGGCGGCGCGGCCGAGGGCGGCCTCCGCGCCCGGAAGGAGGAGGACGCGTTCCTGGGCGAGCAGGACACGGGTGAGGGGCGGCGGCCCGGCCCCGGCCCCGCATGCTCCCGGCCCCGCCGCGCCCGCGTCCCGGGACCCCCGCGCTGGAGGGCGGCCCTCTCGACCCGCCCGTCCATCCGCGGTCTCCCCGGCGGCCGTCCCCTCCCCCCCCGCCCCGCCCCGCCCCGCCGGCGGCGCTGCCCCACGGCCGCCCTTCGGAGCCGCCTCGTGTCGTCCCCTCGTCCCGCGGGGCTCCGTCACGCCGCGGCTCTGCGTTGTTCATCCTCCGCTCGTTTCCACGTTCCGCATTCCCACCGCAAACGCGCTGGAGCTGCCCTGACAGCCGCGCCAGCAGCAGGCGGGAGGGGTTTTGCGAGGAGCCAGCGCTCCATCGTGACAGATGCATGGCTTTAATAAAGTCAGGTGTTCTTTTTATGCTTGTGAAAACCTTTTGCCTTTTTATTTTATTTTATTTTATTACTTTCTTGTAAATAGTCAGTCCTGTTTTTTCTCCTCCATTTCATGTTTCTGCAAGCGACAGAATCCATCACTGCATGAGGTCCCCAAAGACCCCACCACCAGGTGGTTTCCACCCCAAGTTCTTCCTTGTGTGCACCCTGGGCCACAGTTCATTGCCATGAGGCTGCACTGTCCCCAGGGCCTGCTCCCAGCCTGGCCAGTGGCTCACAGGAATGTTTGACTATGAGGACTGATGCCTGCTCACAAATGGACCCACAGCCCAAGTGCACGCTGCTCCTGGGCCGCTCTGTAGCCTGCAGATGGACGTCAGTCCTGCTCACACCTTGTCTGTGGCCTCATTGTGCTGTGAACTAAGTGCAGTTTCCATCGTCTGTTGCCATCCCATTCCCCACAGCACCCCAGTGCCTTTGGATGTGGTGAGGTGAAGTTTGGCAGGAGCAGTGCCAAATCTCTCCTTTTGCATGGGGGGCACTAGCAGAGATTTGTGTGGAGGTCCTGTTGGTTGTGTGTCTCCACCACATCCCCAGGTGCCACCTGGAAGAGCTGCATGAGTCTCCTGTGCTGCTACGTGGAGCCTCACGCTCATCTGACACTGTGTGTGTGTCTTGCAAAAACCATCCATGCTTCTTCATATCATTTAATCTGCCAAGCTCCCGGGGCAGGGAATCCAGACCTTTGGGTTCTGCAGCACAGAAGGCATTGCTAACCGGTGTCCCTGTAGTGCTGGTGGGCACAGAGTAACCACCTCAGGGGATTGCAGTGTCCCCACCTGCAAGCAGCTCTGGCCTCTGCTGTCCCCACCACAGCACATCCAGAGCTGAGGTGGGCCTGTGTCCCCACAGTGCTGGTCTCCACATAAAACCAGGTCTCCTTCATGGCTTCTCTGAGAGTCAGGTGGGGTCTGTGGGCCAAGGAGGGTGAATGTTGGTGCTGGGGCATTCTGTGACTGGACCAACCCCCTGCACCGCATCATGGCCATGCTGTCCCAGCATAGCACTGCGGCCATGCAAGCTGAGCAATTGCCCAAGGTCCTGTGGGACATCTGTGACACCCCTCAAAAGGTTTTCCCTCCACCCACACCAGGAACACCACTGCATGCTGCAGCCCTGCCCGCTTGGACCTGCTCACCCAGGAGCTCTTGGCTTGGAGCGGTACGGTGCCTGGTAGGGATGGGAATGCGGTGATGCCCAGGGTGCTGAGCCAGCCTACCCCTCAGAGCTGATGTGAGCCGAGAGCCCAGGCATTTCTCAGACCTTTTGATCATCCTGAGCTTTGCTTGCTGCCAAGCAAAACTTTCCCATTGTGCTCACTACCATGAGGCTGAGCATTCAGCACCCTGCTGGATCTCAGTGAGCCTCACCAGCCAGAGGAAGGGAGAGACTCACACAGAGCCTTCTCTGCAGCCAGGGCTGGGGGACCTGCAGAGGTCCCATTTGCAGGCTTGCTCTTTTCTGTTCTCACTTCATCAAGAGTCAGTGGATGTGTTTCCTGTGCCTGAGTCTGTTTTGCTAAGGTGCTCCAGATATGGCTGCTGCCTTTCTAAGTTGGAATATTCAGTTCTGCTGCATTTCTGAGACCTGTTTGCAAGTCAGCACTGTGTTAGAACCCATCGAAACAGGGCAGTAATCATGGGTCCGGCCCTAAAGAATGGTGCGTGGGGAAAAATTCAGCTTTTTCCGCCTCTTAATCTCCAGGAAAGTAATCTTGGGATAGCTTGAGCTAAAGGAAGGGAACAATAAAACAACCTGGAGTGGCACCTGAGCCAGAAAGTCTATTGAGAGCTCATACCAATAGGGAAAATAATAAGCCCTGCTGGATGCGGCATGGTGTAACAGTAGTGCCAGGTAAACTGCGCAACAGGAGCCCCGTGTTGCTCAATCACTAATTCTTATTGTCTCCTTGCTGCCCACAAAGACCCA